GCTCCTCAGCTCCACCCTCCAACCCAGGTGGTGTTTTAAACATATAAATCACATCATGTGAGTCCCTGCTTCCCACTCCCCATACTCACTAATTCTGGCCACTTGGCCTCCATCCCCTTCCACTGCCCCATGCTGCTCCTTCTCAACTCTAAAGTCTCACTTCCTCCAGATGCCTTCCTGACCATGGTCCAGCTTGGTGTAGACTACCAACCCTTTGACACTCCTCCAATAAGAGGAGGGCTTTATTTCTCCTTTCCTGAAGCTGAGCTAGGGCTGAGACAGCTTTGGCAAATAACATCTGGGTCGGGGGTGACACAATGCCAGCTCCAGGCCTAGCAGTTAAGAGGAAGCCCCAAGCTACTGTTTTGGAAGTCTGATGCCCAGCTGAAGCAGGAAGCCCTGACACTGCATGGAGAGGAGGGCAGCCCAGCTGGGCCCAGCCTACTCACTGTCCCCACGGAGGAACAAGGCATGCAAGTAAAGCTGTCTGGGACCCTCCAGACCAGGCCCTCTGCCAGCTGAATATCACTGAGCCATCAACACCACATACAGCAGAAAAATCACCCAGCTGAGCCCTGTCCAAATCCTCAATCCATTAAACCACAAGGTACACTAACTTTGGTGGCACTGCAGTTATACAGGATAGATAACCAGAACATAGTCTATTTATTTCCATCATAGCAATCATTGGATTACAGCTGGTCTTTGTTTTAGCTGCTTTTTAATGTTTTATTCTTCATCTCTCCCTGTAAATTTCACCACAGCAGGAAGCAAGTCTATCTTGTTCACCACTGTACACCCAGGCAGGGTCTGGCACATGGTAGGTGCTCAATAAATATTGGTAGAATAAGTAAATAAATAAGTACATCAGAGTGTGATGAGCACAGAGGGAGGCCCCAGGTGGGAATCAAGGAAGTTTTTTGGTGGAAGTGACATCTCAATGCTACGGGGCTGATGGCACACAGGTGCAGGGCTCAAAGGGCACAGCTATGGGATTGGGCCCCCCACAGCCATACCAACTACCAGCCCTCCCCAAGCCGTGTTCTTGTCTCTCAATATCTGGCAGCAGAAACCATGTCTCATTTATCTTTGTGTCTTTGGCACTGAGTACAGCCCAGGAAAATAGGAGGTCCTCAATGCACGCATTTCAAACAAATGAAGTCCCACATGGCTTCTTAGAGAGAGAAGCCTGAGCTGGAAGTTAAGAACCCTGGGTTTTCATGCTCAACAGCTCATTGCGTCCTTGTTAAAATAAGCTGCTCAGTTTTTTCTGTTGCTCAGTTTTTCTGTTGCTCAGTTTGCCTGAGATAAAACCATTGATTCCCTCTGTACTTCCCTGGGTTGTCATCAGGTTTATAAGAAAGCGAGGATGTCAGAGTCCTTTGAAAAAAGGTTTGTTAGAATTGGAATATGTGTTGTTAGAAAAGAAATATGATGATATTGTTCTCTAAATGTTAACCAGCCCCAGGGAGGCCTTCAGAGCCATCATGTGAGCCCTTCTTTGGATCACGTGCCACATGGAACTCAGCCCAGGTGAGTCTAGCCCTGAACACAGCACAGTGCCTGCTCCCGGGCAGCAGCACATTCTTCCATTGCCGAGGTAGGGAGGGAACAGCTGGGGCCTTAGAGAGACACGGCCACAGAGCACAGGGAGGAGCAACAGACTTGGAGCCAAGGACCTGAGTTCCCATCCCAGTTCTGCCCCTAATTTGCCATAAAATCTTGGGCAAATCAGTTCCATCTCTGAGGCAAATCTCTCAGCTAAAGTGGACTGGATAGACCAAATCAATCCTCTCCCTTCCTTCCCTCCTGTCTTCTTCCCTCCTTCCTCCCTCCTATCCGTGCACACGCACCCCAGCTATGCCAAGCACCGGATCCACTGCTGCAGTAGGAATAAAATGACAAGTCCTGGGCTCTGCCCTCAAGGCACCGAGGGGCTACTTGGCAGGTAGATGGACATTATTAAACCAAGAATCTTTATGACGGTGAGACGAGGCTTCTCAGAACAGCCCAAATGAAGGGAGCAGAGAACAGCGCAGGCCCTGTGTGCTGAGCTCCAAGGAAGAGGCAACCCGAGGCCAGTCAGTGCTCCAGGGTCAAAGGGTAAGTCCAGCCTGCCCCTAGAGACTCTACGCTTCCAGAAGCCAACATGGCTCTGCCATCACATTAGCATCGTGCAGAGGGCCCCCTCCAGCTGCACTGCCCTGGGCCGGCACTCTAATTAGACTTTCATAGTGTGTCAGGCAGCCTGCATGGCCCGGCTGCCAGCTGGGGCTCCTGTTCCGTCTGGTGGCCTCAGTTAATGAACCCATGAGGGGCTGGCCGAGCTCATTATAGGTGATACAAGGGAACAGGGTGCCCCCCCATGCCCCCAATCCATGCCTTTCCCATCTCCCCATGTGCACACTAAGAATGGGAAGAGAGCTGATTCCTAACCAAGAGGAAGGAGTGGGCAGGAGACCACCCTGTCTGCCTCTGTGGAGAGGCCGAGATGTGGCAGCTCCAGTGGCCACTCAGCCAGAGTCATGGGTTTCTGAGCCGATGTCTATGCCTGTGGGTTCAGGGAGAGTCCAGGTGCTGTAGATACTCTCAAGCTGCACCAGACCCTTTCTTATCCCAGGCCAAGGAGGCAGAACAAGAGTAGAAGGTTCAATTCTGTCTCTTTCCAATTGTGGGTTCATAGGCATGTTTGGACAAACTGCTTTCTCAGAGCTTTACCATCCTCATCTTTATGATGGGGTAGTAATATCCACCTGGCATCAAAGTAAGTGCTCAGTCAATGTGTTCAATACATTATCTTTGCTTTTATTCTTAAAAGACAGGGGACAAGGCTGGGCATGGTGGCTCCTGCCTGTAATCCTAGCACTTTGGGAGGCCAAGGTGAGATCACCTGAGGTTGGGAGTTCAAGACCAGCTTCACCAACGTGGCAAAACCACATCTCTACTAACAATACAAAATTACCAGGTGTGGTGGCACATGCCTGTAATCCCAGCTAACTTGGGAGGCTGAGGCAGGAGAATCGCTTGAACCCCGGAGACAGAGGTTGCAGTTAGCTGAGATCGCACCATTGCACTCCAGCTTGGGCAACAAGAGTAAAACTCCGTCTCAAAAAAAAAAGGACAGGGGAGAGAAGTTTCCAGAATTTGAGCCATGGTTATGAGTAGTGGGACTATGAAAGATATTTTTCCCTTTTCTGTACTTTCTAAATTGTATACAATGAGCATTTTACCTTTGTTGTTTGAAAAAGTACAAATTTTCTCCAAAATATATGTCCAAAAAAAATGAGAAGATGTAGGTGAGAGGGTCTAGACTATGTCTGGGTGAATATTCTTAGTAGAGGCTTCCTCCTACAGCAAAAGATTGAATAGAAGAGATGGGGTGGAAAAAGCAGCATGGTATTTGCAAATGTGTAATGCAGCAACTTCTTATCCCCACATGCCAAGAGAAGGCACATAAGTGAGTGTTTAGATGCTGTGGCACAGACTAAGGGAGGGGTTTAGGGGAGTTTAAAGGAAGAGAGCTCCTGGCCAGAGTGGAATGGAAAAACTGTAGACAGGAAGATGGACGCAACCCAAGTGTCCACCAGCAGATGAATAGACAAACAAAATGTAGTCCATCTGCACTATGGAATATTATTCAGCTTTAAAAAGGAAGAACATTCTGACACATGCTACTGCAGGATGGACCTCAAAGACACTGTGCTGAGTGAAGTTAGCCAGTTGCAAAGAGATAAATATTGTATAACTGCATTTATGTGAGCTATCTACAGCAGTCGAATTCATAAAGACATAAAGTAGAATGGTGGTTGCCAGCAGCTGGAAGGCGTGGCAGGGAATGGGGAGTTCATGTTTAATGGGGATAGAATTTCAGTTGAGGAGATGAAGAAAACACTGGAGATGGTGGTGACGGCTGCACAACAATGTGATCGTGCTTAGTTCATTTGCTTGAACTCAGGAGGCGGAGGTTGCATGAGCTGAGATCATGCCACTGCACTCCAGCCTAGGTGACAGAGCAAGACTCTGTCTCAAAAACAATACACACATGTATGTGTGTGTGTGTGTGTGTGTGTGTGTGTGTATATACACACACACATACATACACACAGGGTGGGGGCAGGGGGGAGAGAGAAACAGGGCAGATGAAGCAAGTCACTTTTCTCCTGGTGTTGAGGGCCACTGGCTGGCGAAATGACCCAAGGAAAGGGGAGAGTCCAGGAAGCACGGCTGAAAGAGAGACAGTGCTGGCAGGGGGACCTGCCGAGTGGAGTCCTGCATGGTTGGCATAGTCCAAGTGAGATTTGCTGCTTCCTGCCTGCCTGCATTTAATGAGCTGAATCTGAGGAGTTCTAAGTGCGGAAGGTTTTGTAGCTGAAGGATTCAGGGCCTGCCAAGTCAGTGCCCTAGCAGATGGTGCCTCCATGAACTCAGAGCTTGGGGTATGAGAAATCAGGACAGGGGACAGTTTGTGCATCATAAATAAATAAATAAAGCAGGGAAAGAGCCTGGGCATGGAGGTCCTCTAGGGGAACAAGGAAGAGGAATGTTTGAGCATCAGTTCCATGGAGAAGAAATTCACTATGCCAAAGGAATTCAGAAGAAGACTGGCTGATACCCAAATGAAAGATAACTGGATAGGGACAGGATGTCCTGAAGTGAGGTAGGGGTCTCATCAGGGCACAGGAGGCTAGCTCAGTGCTGGTGCTTGTAGGATAATAATAACGACAGCAACAATTGATCGAGTACCTATTGTCTGTGACAAACACTCTTGTTGGGTTGCTCATTTTTTCCCTTCAGGAAACTTCTGCAGAGGATCTCTTTCTAGCTTCCCTTTACATATGAGGAAGGCTGAGGCTTGGAGGTATAAGTAACCTGGAGAGCCAGGGCCTTGAAGACATTCCCTCTGCCTCCAATGAGGCCAGCCTCCTTTCTGCTTTGCCACCAACTGTCTACCCACCCCAGTGCTGCCTCCCATTTCTGTGCACCCATACCCAATTTCTTACTTGAACTGGTGCTCCCGGGAGCTGCGGATTTTGGAGGAGAAGCGCTCAGCCAGCTTCTCCAGGCTGCGGGAGTACTCGAGCTCAATCTCAGCTTTCCGGCGGAAAAACTCCTGGAGGTCTTGAAGCAGCTGCAGTCGCGACTCTGATTGCTGCTCCAGACATTTGAACTGCTCCACCAGCTGCGTACGGATCTCTGCGGGTACATAAGGGTGGGAGCATGAGACCTGTGGTGGATGGGGACATTGGGATCCATTCTGCTGCTGGCCCAGGCCCTGCAATTCAGGCAGCTCCCTCCTACCACCACCCAGAGCCTCTCTGAGCTCAGCAGAGCACTGGCCCAAAGATTTCACTCTTGCTCTTTTTTGCCATTGGTCTAACCAAATGTTTCCAAAACTTGAATCATTGCAATGTCACCACCATGATTTTTCCCATATCCACATGCCCCAAGCATTCTTATTTCTTCCATATGATCTAGTGAATTGACTCGCTTTTCTTACGGAGATGATCTTGCTTAAAATGCAAAGTTTCCTATCACTACAGTAAAGTGAAAAACTAGGACTCCTTGCAGCCTGGGAAATAATTCAATGAAAACAAAAACATTGTAAAATTCTATCTAGAGATGATTGTTTACCAAAGGCCCCAAGCCCAAGCTGCTGGCTCGTTATCAACCAAAGGAAAACGGCAGTGTGACTTTCTCCGTGTGTAGTCAGGACTGAGAGAGGGCCGAGAAGGCATGCTCTTCCCTCTTGGGTTTCAGTGTTATTTAAGGCCATGTGTCCTACTTTAAATCACCTTGAATCCATGTATGAACCTCTCAGATACCACACTTCAGAAAATACTGATTGCTCAACAGGTCTATGCAACCAGGGCAACAGTTCAAAAGCTGGAAGCTGGAGTTAAACATCACCATCATACAATCTATGCATGTAACAAAATTACACTTGGACTCCATCCATTTATAAATAAATAAATGTACAAAGTTAAGATTCTCTTCCAATAATAAAAAATGTTTTGCAAAAGTTGGTATTAGCAAATCTTCCTTTAATCAAGGGATCATAAAGCCTTGCTGCTCAAAGTGTGGTCCATGAGGCTCACGCCTGTAATCCCAGCGCTCTAAGAGGCTGAGGCAGGAGAATCGCTTGAGACCAGGAGCTCAAGACCAGCCTGGGCAAAATAGGGAGACCTCATCTTTATTTTAAAAAAAAAAAAAAAGGTTTTTAAATCAGCCAGGTGTGGTGGCATGGGCTTGTGTTCCCAGCTACTCAGGAGGCTGAGGCGGAAGGATTGCTTAAGCCAAGGAGGTCCAGGCTGCAGTGAGTCATGATTGTGCCACTGCACTCTGGCTTATATGACAGGGCAAGACTCTGTCCCAAAAAAATTAAAATGTGGTCCATGGACCAGCAGCATCAGCAACACCAGTGGGCTTGTTAAAAATGCAGAAGCCTACACAATAAAACAAGACCTCATGACTAGTAAACATTTTAAAAAGCAATTAGCTGAGCATGGTGGCACATGCCTCTAGGCCTAGCTACTTGGGAGGCTGAGGTTGCTTGAGCCCAGGAGTTCAATGCTTCAGTGAGCCATGACCATACCATGATGCTTACAGGAAACGTCTATAAGAGAAGAGAAAAGAATGGAGAAAGAAAGAAAAAGAGAGGAAAAAAAGGAAAAGAAAGAAAAAGGAAGGAAGGAAGGAAGGAAGGAAGGAAGGAAGGAAGGAAGGGAGG